TGAGAGGCGCCGCCCCCTCCCCCAGCCCATCGGGGCCTCTTGCCTTCCCCCTCACCTCCCGGGGAGTCTCCGGCCCCGAACCCAGGCAGCCCAGCTCCTATCTGACCCCTAGCATGGTCCCTGGGGAGGCGCGGAGCCGACTCCTGGGTCCGTGGATCTCTCTGCAAGTCAGGGATGTAAACTTCGGGCTCTCAGGCTCCGGGAACCAGAATCCGAGGTCTCTTGGAAAATGGGCTGCCGAGGTCCGAGTTTCTTGGTTCTCTAAATGGAGGATGCTGGGAGCCTGAATCGTGAGTCTCAGATGGGGATGCTTGGGACCCAAATTCCTCAGACTTCTAGATAGGGCGGTGGATGGCACGGATTCCTGCGTTCCCCTAACTCTAGTAGCAGGAATTACACCACCTCCAGGCTGGAGTGCAGCGAGTCCCAAACTCCTGGGTACCCTGAAGTAGTGGGCACAAGTGGTTGGGGCGCTAGCAGCCCGTAACCCAAGTTCTTCCAACCCCGGGAGTCTTGGGCTCAGGTTTCTGGGAACCCCGGGAGCGAGCCCTCCAGGGTCGCGGGGGCTGATGCCCCGGGCTCTTGGCTCCTTCAGGGAGGAGGCGCTGGGCACCTGGGTATCTGGAGTCCTCTAACCTGCACGCGGAAGCCTGTGCTTCGGAGTCTCTCTAGACCCGGTGCAGTGACTAGGGTCGCCCGAGCTCGCGGCTCTGGAGCCTAAGAGGTCCAGAATGGGCGGCACGGGTCTCAAGCAGCAGCGGTGGCAGCGCCACTTCTGCAGTGGGAGACCCCGTCCCAGCTGTGGGGCTGGGGACGGTCGCCTTGGGCTTCCCCTCCCCCTAGCCGCCTGGGCTCACATCCTGTTCCCGCCCGCGGCGGTGAGGGTGTGGGGGAAGGGGCCGGCTTCCGGCCGGCCAGCCGGGGGTTAAAACACCTTCTCTTTAGGTTCTGAATATTCATAAGAAGGCGAGTCCAAGGCAGGCTACACTCCTTCCACATTCCAAACGCCTCGCGGACTTTCCCTTTTTTCAGCAAGGGCCTTCCAGGTGTGAGAATCAGGAGCTGGTCACACACTTTCTCCTATTGACCAACCAAAAAAATTTCTATTTGCATATACAATGCGAAACATAACTGTCCAGGGAGGTCATGTGGCCGAGAATAACTGAAGGACCCCACGGCGAAAGGGTGCGGCCGGAGCTCCAGTGGCGCAATCGGTTAGCGCGCGGTACTTATAAGACAGTGCAAAGCGGAGCGATGCCGAGGTTGTGAGTTCGATCCTCACCTGGAGCACTTTTGACTTTTTTTTTTTCTTCCTCAGCTTTTATAAATCTTAAACGTTGTCTAAATCTGTATCAATTAGAGGAATGAACATTTCGATTTTCGGGCTGGAAAGACTCCAGGGATTCTGGTGATCATCGGTTAAGGAGTGTTCTGCAGCATGGGGAGGTGCCGTTTTTATTGGCCACTAGAGGGTGGTATCGCCTTTTAGATGCCTGCACATTTCATAGGATCTGCAGATCTCAGTTAAGGCCTGTGTAAGTATCAGGCTGTGGGTCCTCTACTAGTATATGGCCTCTTGCCTCGAGTTTCTGTCTTGGATTTTTTTCCAGTTTCACATAGATATAATTACCATATAACATTGTACTGTATTAGCCCAAGGTCTACAACATAATTATGTGTAAAATGTGAAATGATTATTATAAGTTTAGCTAACATCATTTTTTCTTGTGTGTCTTGAAGTTTTAACTCTTTTCCTCTCCCCATTTCTGAATCGATTTTTTTTTTTTCAACAAATACCGAACATCCATTATGTGGCCAACTCCTATTTAGGGTTTCGACATGAGTGATACTGCAGGGAACAAGGCAAAGTCCCTGTCCCTGAGGACTTGACATTCTAGTGGGGAAGGCAGATTCCTATAAACATAGGAACTAAATACATTTCTTATGTTAGGTGGTGATAAATGTCATGGAAAAAGTTGAGCAAGATAAGGAGGATGGTGGAATGGGAGGTGGGGTGTGGGTTACAGTAAGAGCAGTCAGGGACCTCTCACTGAGGAGACATTTGAGCAGAGACCTGAAGTTGGGAGTGAGCATAGGGATACCTGAAGGAGTATTCCAGGCGGAGGACACAGACAGCATAAAGGCCCTGTGGCTGAAGCATGTCAGATATGCTACTTATTGGTGGAGCAGTTAAGCCAGTGTGGCTGTAGCAAGACTGACCAAAGATAGAATCAGTCCAGGAAGCTGGTTAAGAACTTAGAACTTTGCCTTTTATGTGATCTGACTCAGGTTGTCTAGTAGGGGCAGTGGGGAGAGACTGAGGGCAGAGGTCTGACGCAGGAAACTAGGAAGGGGCTGAAGTGACAGTTCAGGTGGGAGATGATGCTGGATAGGACCAGGGTGAGGAACAGAGGAAGAGCCAGGAGGGTGGATTGTAGATTTAGGTGAATCAAAGAGGATTGCTGTTGGACTAGGGTGTGGGTTTGAGAGGATAGTCAAGGGGATGACCAGGTGTTTGGCACTGATAGTTGGTGGTAGGTGCCTTTTTTTTTTTTATCCTCACCTAAGTAGTGAGGATATTTTTTCTTTTTTAAAATATGTTTTATTGATTTTCCACAGCGAAGAAGGGAGAGGGACAGAGAGCTAGAAACGTAGATGAGAGAGATTGATCAGCTGCCTCCTACAGGCCCCCCAGTGGGGATGCAACCGCAAGGAAGGTACATGCCCCCGACGGAATCGAACCTGGGACCCTTCAGGCTGCAGGCCAGCGCTCTATCCACAGAGCCAAACCGGTTCGGCGTGAGGATATTTTTTCCATTGATTTTTAGAGCAAGTGGGGGGAGGAGGGGAGAAAGGAGAGAAACATCGATTTGATACACCAATTGGCCACCTCCCACATGCACCCCCAAGGGGGGCTGAGATCAGACCTGCAACCCAGGTACTTGCCCTTGACTGAACATATGCTGGATCGTCAGGTGCGCAGGCCGACACTCTAACCACTGAGCATACCAGCCAGGGATAGGTGCCATTTTTTAAAATTTCTTTTTTGAGAAGGGGCAGAACAGAGATATGTTTCTTATTCTTTCAGTGTCTGTAAATGTCTTTGCAAACCCTGCTCTTTCTCTCTGCCTCCCCTATGTCTTTAGGTTTCTATCTTTCCCCCCCCCCCCCC